AGATTCAAGCTCTGCCACAATGAAACTTACTGTAGTCTAATGGGGAACACAGATGGAAATGAAAGAATGACGGAGATGCATGGAAAATTTCTAAACAAGAGGAGTGGGCAGCTGATCTAAGTGGAGAGCATACGGGAGACAGCCCCGAGAAATCCAAGTCTGAGTTGAATTCTAAAGCCCCTATGGGAGTTACCCCAGCAGGAAGAACGAAGAAGTGTGCTGTGGTGTGACTGAGGAGGGAACTGTTTTCCTGGCAGGGAAACAGTGATTGCCAAGGCCCTGTAGCTGCAGGGCGTATGATATGTTATCCTCCATGGCACTTGGTGCCATGGGGAGAAAGGTGAAAAATGTCAGCAAGAGAGAACGCAGTAACAATATGCGCTGGGCACTGTGTTCTACATGTTGTTCTCAAATGCTTTTTAAATAACTATATTTACTTTTTACACTAACTTCATGAGGGAAATGATATTATCCACAGTGACACATGTGGCAGAGGGAACGTGTCCAGGGTAAAAGGCCCACAAAGTGTCAAAACCAGCATATACTCAGATAGGAGTGACAACTACACTGCTCTTCTTTACCATTAGGCTAAGCTGCTCTCTCTTATACGGGCCCGTGCCCCTGAGAGAAGCAGGTAACACAAGTCTGATGTGCATCTTTCTCACACCACAGCCTGCATTAACATCTGACTCCCAAGAAAACCATGAATTAATAAAAAGACCTATGCTCAAGTCACCCAGAAGCAAATATGTTTTAAACCTAGCAGTATTGTCAGTCATTCAGGTAACAGCAACTATAAATGAGGTGACTCATTTCTTCGGTTCCTGTGGGCTACCTGAATCTGAAGACTGACTCTGGTATTGCTCCCCTGCCCCTCGCTGTTGTTACAGGGCTGTGGGGAGGGTGGACACACCCTGACTAGCTGCATTTGAACTTGAACCTTTACCCCATTTACTGTCTGTGGGCTTGGATAAGTTACTTAGGCTCTTGGTGTTTTCAATTCCTCATTTGTAAAATGGATGTAATAGCAGTATTCCCTTCATGGGAGTTGTTTTGAGGATTAAATGAGTTAATATATGTTGTATTAAATATTAAGAACAGTGCTAGGCACATAATAAACCCTCAGTTAAAGTTATAAATGTCTATTTTGACAATGGCTGTTGTTGTTATTATTATTTTTAATATTATGTGCTATGCTAATAATCACTCCACTGCCTCCCTTTGGAAAGAACTAAATGTGCCTGACTCTTCCAAACAACTGAAAATAGCCAGATTTTTCCTTTTTGTCCAATTTTAGCAAACGTTCACTCAGTTCATTAACTACAGGCAAAACACTTCTCTTAGAGGCTACTGAGAGAAGGCCACTTCCTTTTCCTTAACAGAGAGATACAGAGTGGTCACAGCTTCACCTACAGGAATTCAGCAAATAAGAAAGAGAAACTCAGTGAAACAGGGCTTAAAATGGATCCTTCTAGTAGGCAATCCCATGACATTACTTTGCTATTCAACTTCTGGCCCAACATTGATTGGCTCTAGCAGTAGTTTGGAGAAAGGGGCCGGGAGCTACAGCCTCCCATGCCTTGTTAAAGGAAAAAAGAAAAAAAACGAAGAAACACCACCGCCACCACCGCCACCAAAAAAATAACAACACAAAAAACCACTCCCCTTATATCTCTTCTACATATTGAATTTTTACCTAAAAATATTTGATCAAAGTTTCAATTCAGAAAATAAGGACTGTGGAAATCTTGTAATGCCCTTGCCACAGCATTCAGTTCCTTTACGACCTGGCTCTAACTTGTCCAGATTCATCTTGTGCCACTCTGTCCTCAGCACTTTTTAATCCTTAAACTATGTAGTAATTTCCAGAACATGCTCCACGCTCCCTCAACCTCCATGCCATGGTACAGGCTCTTTCCTTGGCCAGGAATGTCCTTGTCTGATTGTCCTCCTTGGCTTAACTACTACCCCTCACTGTCCAGCTGGGAAGGAATCCCCAGAAAGCGACGAAATACAGAAATCCTCATAATTATTTCAGAAAATAAAAGAACTTCAAAGACTTGGCCTGAGTTTAAGCACTAATTCTGAAGGAAGTATTAGCAAATTTAGAAGTGTCTCATATCTAAAACCAGAAGGACATAACCATTATATTCAGTTCCCTCTGTGGCTATTTTCTGTTAAAAAAAAAAGAAATGGCATAGAACAAAAACAATAATTTAAAAATTGATTTCCAGCTATGGCTTTATCAATTTTATTACAATAAACTATAGTAACTTTGCAGTAAATCATTGCAAACAATTAACAAAGACGACCTTTGAGAATTCATCTCAGTTTTTAACAGAGCAGCTATAATGAGCACAATTATAATAATTGGTAAGAAGCTTCTGCAACATTCCATAATACACAAAAGACAACATGGCAAAATGAAATAGATTGTTTTCTGAGGACACCACGAGTTTCACAAAGGAAATCTTATGTTGACTGTCATGCGTAAGGGGGTGACACAAAAGTCACTTGATGCTGTATCAGATACCATGGGAATAAGAAAACCATTTCCTGATATGTATCCATGTTTGTCTTTGTTAAGGGTCAGTGGTTACATAATGGCCAATGCTGTGCCTAAATCAGGGAAACTATCAAACCCTTTCAAAAGGGATTCCCCAAGAGAATTAAGTCAAAATACCATAAAGCATCCATTGTATGCAATGGATTGACTCTCCTTTGCATTGAAAATGGCATTAGCTTTGTACCATCCTTGGGAAAATTGATTAAATAGTCTCTCAAATATTTTTCTTGTAGGGCTTATTTGCCTGGTGAAACCCTGTTTAGAAAGGCTAACTAATATCTTTAGACTGAAAAACATACTCTGGGATAAATAGCTATAAAAGTATTTTGATCCCACGCAAAGTGGTCTAGTAAAAGTAAGTGGTCCATCAAACAATTTAAAATCTCACAACTAGAACCAGAAACTAGAAAAGCAATGTGCAGTACTCCCAAGTCTTACTTTGTGCAGCAATATACAACTTTGTGCACAGTTGTGCCCTCAGATTAAGGATGTCAGCAGAACTCAACTGTAGTTCCACAGAACCACACAATAAAACTTTATAGCACAAACGTCTTGGAATCCATCCACAACCAATAGCTGTTAAACTGCCAAGGGCATTGCATTATGTGGAGCTCCTATTCACTCCAAGGAAAATACAGTAGTAGGACTTCAGCAGAATAACAAAATGAATTTTAATTTGTTCTGTGGTGGGAGCTTTGTAAAAGATTTACACATTTATAAAGGGTTTATATGTAGAGCTAATAGTATCTGGTCTTGATTTTTGTGTCAGACCCTGCTATTTGACCATACCCATAACATTCTACCTTTATTCCGAGCAGAACCCAGATTTTTAAATGTACGCATTGGTAGAATGAAAGTCTACTTTTCCCAGCTTCCCTGAACCAAGCACAAATGTTGTGTAGAAGAGATTTCACTGGAAGGGGTTCTCTTCTGTACCCTTCAACTATCACCACCCCCCAACTTTTCTTTTGCCTGCCAAAGAAAGTGATCAATGGAAATCTGACAACCATCTTCAACTATGCATTAGAATGATGGAGTAGAGAGATAAAAGCGTTCTTCTCCTCCACATATTGTTGCTGCACATCCCTGGGCTCTCAACTCTCAACTCCGTTAACATGACAGCATAAGACGCTTCCATCATGCATAAGCCTCTGTTATCCTGAGTTTTCTGTTTCAAGTGATAGAAGCTAAACCTAATTAATATAATCTACATGCAGCTTCTTATTCAACAAAGGTCAGATGAATTAGGAAACTAATTGGGATTAAATATTTGAACTTGGTTTGTAACCTCTGAAACTTGAATAATATACTTAGGACAAATAAAAGAAAGTGCTACTTTAAGTACGAATAAACATATGGGAACACCTTTTTTTTACCGGTTAAAAATGTGTATAATTTAAAGAGGAATTCAGACCAATAAGAAAAGAAATCAGTAAAATGCATGGTATAAATGAAAATTAGTAAAATTAGTATTATGGTAGATAGCATATCATATAATATATACTATCAAAGGGAACAAATGGGACCAGAAAAGGTATAAATTGAAGTCAGACATGCAGACATACCATACGCCTTTTTTGATTTGTATACTGGCTCTAGATACCTTTATGTGACCAATTCATTCTATGCCTATTTACATTAAACAATCCACTTCTGTGCCCAATGGAAGACTTTGGTCTTTTAGCTTTTATGTACAGCAGAAAGACATCTTAGAAAAATTCCCAGGACAATAGAAAATTATTAACATGCTTTTGATGTCCAGTGAGGCCTTTCAAGCCTGATGTTTGCTCTGTATTCTTGAAAGGCATTAACATATTTTAAATAGACTCAGCAAAAAGAATGGAAAGCATAAGATTTTATTTCAAATAAAGTCTATTCCTTAGATTGCTTTTGATCATCCAGGCAGAAATTTTGTTTCAGTGTTGGCTCTAAATAATAATAAGAATTTGTGGTTATTGTGGTTATTTGTTCAATGATATCTGGGGGAGGAAAAAAGTTTTATGAAATATCCCAGTAGGACTTTAGAGCTGCCCAAACTCTTGTCTATTCCAGTGTTAGGTGGACCTTTGGGAAAAATGTTAAGACCCATCTCTTCTGTGTAATCTCAGTATTATTCTTTTAATACTTCCAAATCCTTGTTCTGTCTTCATATGCAAATGTATTCCATTGTGTTTATGTAAATTGTAAGCACATATTATTTATTCTTCACTCTAAATACCTAAGGTTGTGTGTAGGTATCTAATTTAATTAGAGTGTTTTTACCCATGGTCTTCTCGATCAGCTGTTGAATACTCTTACTTCTTTATTTTAAGCACAAGTGGGGAAAGATCTTAAATGTTTAAAAAGATTCTATTTCTGAAAGATAATTTTTCTATCCCTAATTTTTCTATGATAAACATATAGCTATTGAGAAGGCAAGAGAAAGATACATTACCCCTGTGACATCCATGACCTTAATGGCAGCAAGCTGGCCTGTTTTGACATGACGACCCTGTATGAAAAAAATAAAATAAAGACTTTAGTTCTGATGCACAATGTTATCATTCATTTCCAGCCCTGAAGAACAACATTCTCTAGATTAACGTCACAGAATGCCAATGGGGAAAACAGACAGACAGACAGACATGCACACACACACACACACACACACACACACACACACACAACTTAAATGCTTTGAGGATCAACTTCTATTTTGTGTTTATTTTGTAAAAACATCTCAGTCACTTCATCTTTTGGGCTTATTTTCACAGCAGTGGTCAAGTTAAATAAAAAGGGCAATGTTGAATAATTCGTTCCACCTCCTCTCCGAAGTGTTAGACCAGGGCTTATGTGAGAGTTGGATTTATGTGGAAGGGGAGCTGGACCAGACTGGAGAAGACACAAGTATTTCCTCTGCGGGAAAATACTCAGGAAGTGAAGGAACTTTAATTTCCTTGATGATTAAAATATCTTGTAACAGTCTCAACAGGTTGTTTGTGTTTTTGTTTTAGTAACTGCTATAATGTCATTGAAGGTAACACTGGAAAAGAAAATAACCTGCTTCTCCATTTTAAATTTTACCTCCAAGCTGAAATAACAGTTCTCAACGGGTCTGACAGAGTAACACACCTCTGGGATGGCAGCATCAGCTTAAATGAGGTCCTGGAGACGCCACATTAGCAAGCCTCAGCTGAGTCCCAGGCAAAGGCGTCCCCAGTGCTCTGCGCGGGAAAGCTGCTGAGCTGTCAACCTTTGGTGGGGGAGGGCCACAAAGGAGGCAGCCCAGCTGGAGCTGCTTTTACATCACCGGAGAATGTCAAACCAATTAGGATCCAGATTGAGGCAGATTTGAGGGACTGACCAGGAGTTAGCTGACCTAAAGATGACTAGAAACCTGAGGCAACTTCATAAAATCACAAATAAATGACATAGAAAGTGCCCCCCGGGGGCTCAATCCAATACCCTTCTTTTAGAGGTGAGGCCAAATCTCATAGGTAGGACCTAAACCCAGGACACTCTCTCCTCTGTCCCACTTCTGCCACCTAGATCCTGATTTAGAAACTCTTATTGCTAAAATGTAAAACTATTTTTTAAACAAACTTTCTTTGCATATTATACTTAAGTTGAGTTAAACATCAAAACATTCATCTCTATTTCACATAGGATTTTGTCACTTTAATTTTCGATTTGAGGGCAAGGCAACAAAGAAGGATTATTATTATTATTATTATTATTATTATTATTATTATTATAGGAAAACTTTTAAGTGAAAATTTAATACTCCTCCTAATTTAAGTTACTTACACTTATAAGTGAAATGAAAAATATAAACCTAGACTCCATCTCAGTTTAGGACTAAAATACATATTGAAACACAAGGATTAAATTCTGGGGGTGGAGGGAACTTTTAAAGGGAGACAAAGAGTTAAATATTTTTTTCTTACAAAAATTAGAAAAAAAATCCTGTCAGCGCAGTTGCTGAGTCATTTCTTTATAAAGGAATGAAGATTTTCTTCTACTGAAATTACCAACGATAGCAAAAATAACAGACTAGATCTAGAAAAATGAAACTGAAATTCCAGTAGGACCCCAAGCCTTATGTCAATCATAGCCTCAAGAATAAAAAGCTCATCCACCAGAAAAGAGGAAGAAAGCTTATTAAATCGGGGAAAGCGAGGCTGCGGGGTCACCAGTGCGGCAGGTGCAGTTCCGCACAGCCCTCTGACCCACCCGCTAACCCACTCTGCCCCCTTCTTCCTCTCTCTGCTCATGTTTGAGGTAAAGAACTGCACTGATTCTTGTTCCACACAGAGTAACTCAACATCCAGGTGAAATCTAAACCACTCAAGGATATAACACCCTATCTCTTTACCTCCTTCCTAAAATGAATTCAAGAGAAAAACAATGATTTTGTTTGAAATGGCCATGTAAGACTCTGCTTTGTTATTGCTGTTATTTATTTTCTCAGAACAGCAAGATGGCTTCAAAGCTGCTAGCCTGAGGCCAGCCTGGGAGAAAGACTGCTTTCATTTCTAGGTCACTGAAATAGATTTGTTTCCAGCAGAGCACGCGAGCAAATGGGGTTGTGGAGAAGGCAGACACTCCACCCACCATCTCCTTCCGTTGTCCAAGGACTCACACACGGGTAGAGTGTTTCAGCTCTTCGTGCTTAGCTTAGATTAGATCTAGCCTTTATTGAGGAAGATTTCTTCGATTTTCTAGTTGCAGGTGAAGGTTCTAACCTTTGTGTTTCCAAAGCATTCTACACTAATACCACTCATTATATCCAATACTGTGATTTTCAAAATGTGCCTCATAAGAACCCTGAAAATAAATCAATCAAACAGAAAAATATCACAATATAGAACATGCAGCAGTGGCAGTTGTTGTGTCATGAATCAAATGTTACAGTTACATCTATATATCCATCCTATCCATCCATCCATCTATAGTGGATGCTGTGGTATACCACCCAGATTTAATACTGAGGTACCTTACAGCTGTCAGCCAAGGCCTTTCTGGTAACTGCCCTCTGCCAAAAGAGCACTGCCCAAAGCCAGGTTTCCTCCTAAAGAAAACAGAATCCAATGACAGGAATATAAAGTCCCAATCCTCCTGTCTTAAAGTGGGACCAACCTCTCAGAGGGATGGCTGAGGTCTTTGTGGAGACTGCATTGCAGCTAAACTGTTTCCTCTGCACAATTCTACTTTCTTCACAGGTTTAGATCCTAAGAACACTCCCCATTAAAATTCTTACATATAAATCACCAAATCAGAATATGTTTCCAGGGGAGCCTACCTTAGACAGTAAGTTCCAGGAATGGTCCAAAGACACAGGCTCTCAGAGAGGCTGTCAAGGAGACCCTTATCACTGGTGACAGGTGGCTTACTGATTGCCCCTGGCATACTGTAGCAGTGCCACTGCCAAACGTTCACTAGTGGGGAACAGGAGCAGGATCCAGGTGCCAGGGAATATACTGGCGAGTCCAATATTTCAGACTTTTAAGAGGTGAGAAGAAATAGTAGTTTAAAAAATGGAATCATATGGCTTTTGCTGAGAGTCACTGATGTACTGGTGATTAATGATCAGCTGAAGGCAAGGTGTGAAAATCATAAGTGGGATGAGGCTAAATCCTGAGAGCGAAGTACAGTCTTCTAACGAGATGGGAACATAACTTTGGAAGGCTCAGAGCATTCAGGGGGACAGGGGTTTTCAGCTTTTTAGTGCTTAAAACCTGGATGTCTCCATTCCAAGTTGCAGAGTCTCATTACATCCCAGTCAGGCTGTGACTGAGGATTACACCTTTCCTTCTACCCTGATAGTTAATTCCTGAGTCTGGTCCTCAGCTTTTTCTACTCTCTGGCTACAGAAGATACAAGTCTTTTTATATGCTACCCAATATTTTTGTTCAATAAACAACAGCAGCAGTCAAGCCTGAGAAAGTCATGTTGGGTTCAGACGTCTCAGGAAGGAGGGTCTGAGTCATCCCAGCAAGTCTGCAACAGAGACCAGCAATGATACTAACCAACACAGGAGGTAAAATGGGTGGTAGAGGAGGGAGATAATGAGCATCAGTTGCAACCATTAGACATCACGTAACGGTGAGGGCTTATAACTGCCTAGGGAAAGTGATCAGCCAGAATCCTAGAGGAACTTCCTTCCAGAATTTATACAAAGCAAGTGGACGCAAGCACAGAAACAGACTGTAGTATACACTGTGGTGTGCCCCCTTGACACCTCCTTCAAGAATGAGGTTCTCTGGGTCTCTCTCCAAAAACTGACTTTAGCCAAACACAGAAGCTAGACTCAAGGGCAAGTTTCCTGCCTCAAGTAATGTCCTTTACCTGGAGGTGGCAAGCATTCAATGACTGGTTGATGTAGGAATATAAAAGCCTACATCCCTTATATCACAATGGAATAACTTTGAAGGGCCATACTGGCTCCAGAGCTCCTTTTTGGGGGTTTGCCTGGGGTTTCTGTAACTACATTCAACTCCTGCTGCTCAAATCTGTCCTCACTCTTTCACAGGAATTGATATTGAGAGCACTCCCCAAAAGACAGCTACAAGCAAATCTGTCCTCAGAATCTGTGACCTAGGGAACTCAAAGACTCTACCTACCTACCTACCTACCTGCCTACCTACCTATTCGTATGTATATTCCTGATATTAATGTAAAATAATATATTTATTACTGGATCTGGGGTAAAAGTTTTAAGAAAAGCTCTGACCTAAACAATGAATAGAGTAAACTTGTTCAAGCACTGCAAAGTACACTCCAGATAAAAAGAACACCATGGTCAAAGGTCCTGTTGTGTAGTTTTTAGAGCATCTGAGTGACTGAAAGCAGGCCAGCATGACCGGAGTAGAGAGCAAGTGGCTAGCAAGCCCACGCAGGGCTTCACAGGCCACTTGGAGGAGGTCTTTATCTAAGACCAAGGGGAAGCCACAAAACTTTGAAGCCATGGTGCAGAGTGCTCAAGTTTGCCCTTTAAAAAGATCACCCTGGAGGCAAGGCAGAGCACAGAGGAGAGCAGGAAAGATGATGGAAAAATAAAAATTACAATTGTATTTAGCAATTCATCTGAGAGATGATGGCAACTTGGACTAGGGTGCAAGTAAGGAAGGTAAATAGTAGGTAGGGTCAGAAAGGGATATTCAGGAGGTCAATTCAACATGATTTGGAAATGAATCAGATGTATATTTACCCCATGTTTCCCACAGTGCCCCACACAGCAGGGATTGAATAAATGTTTGCTAGATGATGGGTTGAATGAAATAGTGAGATATGAGGACTGTATTCAGGTTCTTGGTCAATACCATCTATATGTCCACAGCAGTTTCTCCCACTCCCCACCCTTAGCCTATACTTCTATCCAGCCACAAAGTATATATCAGCACATAGGGCGAGATGGTGAGTAGCAATTATAATCATTTCACCCAAGATAAGTCGGAAGATGAATTTAGTAGATGCAGTTCCCCTAAGCTCTCTAGAGAGTCCAATTCACTT